GAGGTCAGGGCTGTAACAAAAAGGCCCTGCCTTGCACTCAAGCAGAAAACAGAGCGAAACCAGAATCAGTGCTTATTTAACCCAGGAGTGCAGTCATCTAGGGATTTGTGGAGCTGGGTCATCCAAGCCCATGAACCTGAGGTGTTACCTGAAAAACCTCACTCCTGGTCTGCAGTTGGCTTACACCCAGCACAGAATCAAGGTGAGAGCTGTGTGTCGTCAGCCCACCCTGTGGCTCCTTCCCTGCTTAAGAGGCAATCAGCTTTGTGGGGCTTGCCTTTCCCTTGAAGTGCCGCCCAAGAACATCCCAAGTGTAAAATTCCAGCCACAGTCTAGGAGCGATTAGCTGGTCTGATCTGACTCGTGGGGGAGCCTTGTGTCACCTGGTAGCTTAAGCTGGAAGTGGCACCTGCCCAGCCCCGGACTGAGACCTATCTGGGGTTCTGATGGCCAGCTGTGGAGCCTCTCCCAAAGGCTCTGGGAGCCAGAAGCAGCCAGAAGACCCCCTACCCCGGAGCACCGTCCTGCCAGCCCAGTGGCCTGGCTGCCCAGGGGAACCTCCTTAAAGGAATCTCCTTGTCCTTCCTGCCCAATCTTCTGTCCCCATCACCTTGCCCAGCGTGCTCTGGGCTGGAAGGACCCCTGCTTGTTGATGGGCACGGCAGTTGGTGAATCGGTTTGAGGTTCCCAGGTGATCTGGCACCTCCTGGCAGGGAGGAGGATGGAATGACTTTGGGGGGAAGCAACTCAGCTTGTAAGATTCTTCATCTTACAGAGGAGATAATCCTACCTGCCACCAGGTTATCCAAAGATGAGAAGTGAGGCCATAAGGAGCCCGGTCCAGCTCCTGTCACATAGTGAGAGCCCATAAGTGATGAGTCATGAACGCACACGCCAGGCCCAGTGCTGGGGGAGGCTGGCCATCCGTCCTGTTGCACATCTAGGGAAAAGAGCCCTGCCGGTGAGATGACAACTGATGCCAGCTTGCAGGGAGTTTCTAAGAGCCATTCCCTTTGCTCTGTCATGCCCAGCAGACTTAGGAAGAACACCCCAGCTTATCCATTAGGTAGGCCATTTTATCTATCAGATCTGCGTGTAAGGAGTGTGCCAGAGTAGAGCTTGGCGGAGTCAGCTAGCTGACCCCTCAAATTTACACAGGAGGACCCCACCACCCAGAGAGGCCAGGGGGCCTGTCAGGCATGTGGAGCTCTGGGGAGCATTCCAGGAAGGGTCAGCAGAGGGTGTCCAGATGACCCTGGTGATTGGGAGGTGATGGAGGGACGGGGCCAGTGAAATCAGCTGGCAGCCAGCACTGCCGAGGGGTAGGGACCAGGTGCCCTTTGCCACACCGTGTTCAAGTCATTTGAGAGCTGCCTGTGTGTCTGACAAAGCTCAGCTTGAGAAATTCGAGACCTGGGACTGTAGTCTGATTGCAGAGAAGTGACTGAGGCTATTGAGACTCTCCCAGGAGAGAAAAGGTGATCAATTCCTCTGGATGGAATTCTTCCAGGTTGTTGGGCTGCCCTCCTTTCTTGCCTCATCGGCTGTCTTTGGTGGGGAAGAGGCCTGGCATCCATTTCTGAGGGCTGTGTCTTCCTCCAGCGAGGGGCTTGCAGGGAGACTGTTAGCCCAACTGACCCTCTGGGACCCACCACTTGGAAGCGGCTTCTGCCTAGAGTTGGTGGTTCTTAAATGGGTGCTGTGGTCTCCCGGGCATCGTAAGGGAATCGATTCTCTGTAATCTCCTGCCCTTTTGTTTCTCTCCACTCCCACGGGCCGGGGGTAGGGACGGTGGTCACCCTGCCGCCTTCTTTCCTGGGCCTTTCCTGGACCTGCTTTTCTGTTTAATGTTTGGCAGTGACTCTAGGCACTGCCTGGGTGCTGCTATTTAAAAACCACAGGAAAATCCCCTGCTTGCTGCTGCCAGCACAGTCGAGAAATCCCGTGGTGTGCAAACCCGCCCCAGTGGAATATTCCACCTTGGAAGCAGGGGGACTCTCTGGCCTTGGCCATATGGGGCCCAATTTTCATGTTGAAGAAATGCTCCCTTGGGGAGGAGGTGTGGGAAAGAGGAAGCTAGGCGGAAAAATGCCCCATTTACTCAGAGAGTAAATGGGAGGCTCTTGGGTCCCACGAGCCATCAGAGGACCCTGCCCTGGAGCACCCCTCTCCTTTCTGGACCCCTGAAGCGCGGTCTGGGAACTAGAGGTTTCGCAGCTCAGATGCCCCTGCTGGACTCGAGCCTGGCTGTTCTCGCCCAGCCCTTTTCCCTCCTGCCTCCCGGGTCCCAGGCCCACTGCCCAGTGTGTCCCCGTGGATCCCCAGAGAGCTGCATCCTGACAGGGTGGGTTTGGTCCAGCCCCAGGCTCCGTGACCTTTATTCCTGAGTAACTATGGCAACACCGCCACTTGGCTCCGGACTGACTGTTCCTGGGATGACTTCAGGGACACCCCTCCTTGAACTCAGACCACTAAGACTCTTCCACAAACACCCCTGTGCCCATGAACTTCTAATGGCTTTACCTCTGGGGCTTGCAGATGCAGCCAGGACTCAGGCCCAGGGCAGCCTGCCTCCCCAACACCACACTCCCCGGAGTCCAAGCGTCTCGGCCCCGCGTGCAGAGCTGGCCTCGCCCTCTAACCCTTATCGGCCACTGCTTCCGGCTCCCATTCCCAGCACATCCGGCCCAACTGCTCCTAAGCCCAGTCCCGGACCTCTGTTCCCACAGGCCCCGCTGCCTGCAATAGTCTTGTTCTGCTCCCTCGATTGTGCCCCCAGCCTGCGTCTGTGGGGTCAGCCTCTGTGATGACCTTCCTCCCCAGCAGGCATCAATCTTTGCAGGCCCCCGACCCCGGCAGCGGGACACATCCTCCCTGGGTCCTCCGCTGGCACCGCATCTGCAAGTGCAGTGGGAGGTGACACGCTGCAGCTGGGTGATCGTGGCCTCTCTGGTCTTCCTCTGAGGGGCCCTTGCTCTTGGGATGCGAGAGGTCATTTTCCAGAGTCCTAGAGTGTCCACTGATCCAGAGAGCGTGGTGGGGACAAGTTGTCCATCCCTCACTAGACAGATGAGGAAGCTGAGGCCCTGAGAAGGGGGCATGAAGAAAGGCAGTGTGGGTTTAGTGGTCCCCTGATGGGGGAGTGGCGTGGGATGGGGTCCGCCCTGGTTGGAGAATGCTCTGCCCTCCCCTTCCTCCCACCCCGCTCTGAACCCGTCGGACCCTCGTCCCCTCTGAGCTCTGTTGCATGGGTGTGACCAGCAGGTGGTGAGAGCTGTGCACTTTTCTTCTGGACCCACCTAGACGTCTTCCCCATGGGTGGAACAAACTATCACTTGGTTGGTCATCTCATGTAATGAGGTTCTCCCATTGCTGCCCTCATGCATTGTCTGTCCTGGGTGTTTGTGCAGCCTTCTGGGTGCTTAGATAGAAAGGCTGGCTTTCCTTAGCCTTCTTCGGAGATCTGCATCAGAAGGTTCTGGGAAAAACACCCTTGTCGGTGAGGCCGGCCCTTTGTCACATGGCCTGGCAGAGCGCTGCCCTGGCTTTAGACTAGGTCTTGGCGGTGGAGTGAGGGTTTCTGGGGTGGGGTAAACACTGCCAGGTTCAGTAGGGAAGAATTCTTCTCCTTAAACAGATTTTAACTTGAAACCTTGATGACAGAAGCAGCTGAGTCTCACCAGAGAGAAAAAAACAAAGGAGACTGATTTAACCTCGGGCTCCAGCAGCTGGAGTCAGTCCAGCAACCTCAGCGTGGCTGCTAGCGGACGCTGCAGGACAGAGAATGAGGAACCGCCTCTCCAGGGGTCCACTGTCCAGGCAGGACCACTTCTTACCTCCCTCTTCTGTAGAATTCCCAGCTTCTCCTTCCCAGCGCAGAGCCTTTGGGGTTTACTGTCTGGTTTTGCTGGTCAAGGATCCGCTTCTCAGGAGCTTGAAATGCTTCACTTCTCATCACTCCCTTCAGGGGCTCATGTCTGGGGACACTTGATCTTCATGTCTACAGCCCGTTCTTATTAAAGTAACTTAGGGATATTTTTATAGAGAGAAATGTTTATAGCTGGGGATAAAAAGGATTTTCTTTAAAGTAGTCATATAGGTGAAGGTTGAAATGCGGCTTTATCACTTACTTTTCTGAGGCCTGGGTTCTGCAAATGGAAATAATGATTACCTTGCATCCTTGCTGTGAAAATAAAATAAGAAGGTGCTCAATAAATGTTAGTTCTCCTTTCTGTCCAAGGAGCCCCTCCTACACACACACACACACACACACACACACACACACACACACACACAGAGTTTTTACTTAAGAAATGTCTTGAGAAGGAGGAGTGCAGTGGAGAGAGAGTCCTGCGGGCTGGCTCACCCCTGTGTGCACCAAAGCCCTGGAGGCACTGCTGTCCCCGGGGAGTTCCCTTTAAAGTCTCCTCAAACCTCTCACAGGCAAGAGGTACCTCTGCTGGCACCACATCTGCAAGTGCAGTAGGAGGTGACACGCTGCAGCTGGGTGATCGTGGCCTCTCTGGTCTTCCTCTGAGGGGCCCTTGCTGTTGGGATGCAAGAGGTCATTTTCCAGAGTCCTAGAGTGTCCACTGATCCAAAGAGCATGGGGGACCAGCTGTCCATCCCTCACTAGACAGATGAGGAAACTGAGAGGGGGCACGAAGAAAGGCAGTGTGGGTTTAGTTGTCCCCTGATGGGGATGTGGCGTGGGATGGGGTCAGCCCTGGATGGAGAACGCTCTGTCCTTCCCTTCCTCCGTTCCCAGTGCCTGTCACATCCTTGTCCCCTTGATTCTGGGTGTTTTGCTCAGCCTGTTTGTAGAATGGGACAAAGCCCATAGATGCATGCCACGCAGTTGATGGAGGTGAAGTCCTCAGAGCTGCCTGTGCCGTGGGCCTGGCACTCACCTCTTGTTCTGTGCCCCAGGCAGGGGGTTCTCTGGTTGGAAAGTAGTAGTTCTGTTTCTAATGTAGAGCTTTCCGTTTGCTTGTTTCTAGAGCAAATCATGGAGGAAAATAAAAAACATGGTGCACTGGTCTCCCTTTGTCATGTCCTTCAAGAAGAAATACCCCTGGATCCAGCTGGCAGGACACGCAGGTAGCCACAGCTCTCCCGGACTTTCTGACAGGATGTCCGGCTCTCTGGGGAGGCGTCCAGCGCGTGTGGGGGACGGGCCTGGCCCTGGATGCTCCCGGGGATGCAGCATCTGAACAGGTGCTCCCTGAGAGACTTCGTGGTCTGCAGTCACAGGCGTACTTGAGAGACGGGCCTTAACACTGCCTCGAAAATGCACATGGACACCTGCCCTCTCCATAGTCTGTGCCACCTCTTCACAAATCACACACAGTCCCCCCGCAGTCTCTCTGTCTCTTTCAATCTCTTTCTTTCAATCTCTCTTCCATTTTAACTCAATAAAACAGTTGAAGTCATCAGTCTTTATAGCTTGCCTGCCATTTGTCACCTGGGACAAAGAGACAAAGCTAAGTGCTTCCCTGAGTGCCTGTTGTATCCCCTCATCAAGGTGCTCCTCTGGGTGACAATACGTATGCAGATATAGTATCTGCCCCGAAGGAGCTCGTAGCTGGTGGGAGAGGCAGGCAGGTCGCCCCGAGAGTGTTAAGATGTAGTGGAGTACCGGCTGCAGTGGCCATGCCCTGGGCTAGCCGTGAGGTCTCCAGGTGGCCCCTCAGTGACAGGGGAGGATGCCTAGAGCTGTCTAGCCCACTCATGGTGCTCCTTTGGCGGGCATCGTCCCCAGGGGACAATTCAGTGGCCGCCCGTGGACTTCAGGCCAACACAGGATCTGACATTTTTTTTTTTACACCCTTAACCACGTTGGCCCAGACCCCAAGGCAGGTGGATGGACACCCTTCCTCAATACTTACCTGAGGGTGTGGCTCAGAAGGAACACTGCCCAGCCCGGCAGAGCCTCGGACCGCTGCTTCTCAGCCGGTCTCCCTCTCCTGGCGCTAAATCCGGTTCTATCAGGGCTTCTCCTCGGCTGAGACCGGAGACACTTTCGTGGCTGGGAGGCAGGGTCGATGGTGGGCTTGGGAGGTGGTAGTCGCACAGAGAGGGGTGAAGAGGTCCTGGCACAGACCTCTCACTTCCGTCTTGCTCACCCTCCAGCGGTGAGCACTGGTGTACTTCCATCTTCAGAGGAGGAGCCTGGGGTCTGGGAAGTCCGCGAGCCAGCCCAGAGCTGCCGTCAGGGCACGGGGTGTGGCCGGGGCGGAGGGTGGTGGGGGACTGGGACTTGCACCCACTGCGCTTACAGGGCTCGGTCCACCAGTGGAGACCTGGGCACACCTTCAGCCCCGTGCTTGGCAAGCTCCACAGCATCCCCGAGAGGCCCGGGCCCTGTGACGGAGGGCGTGTCTGGCAGGGGCGGGGGCCAGAGCGGGGAGGGGCCAGAGCGGGGAGGGGCCAGAGCGGGGAGGGGCCAGAGCGGGGAGGGCTCGGGCTGGGGACCCAGGGCCTCCTCCCACCTTGCTGTGCAGGGAGCTTCAAGGCGGCTGCCAATGGCAGGATTCTGAAGAAGCACTGTGAGTCGGAGCAGCGCTGCCTGGACCGGCTGATGGCCGACGTGCTGAGACCCTACGTGCCTGCCTACCACGGGGACGTGGTGAAGGACGGCGAGCGCTACAACCAGATGGACGACCTGCTGGCCGACTTCGACTCGCCGTGCGTGATGGACTGCAAGATGGGCGTCAGGTGAGCCAGGCTCCTCAGATGGGGCACACCCGCCCCTCAGCCCCCAGTGACCAGGCACGGCATTCCAGGCTTCCAGGAGGCCGGGCTTTCTGGGCTGTCCCTGAGGCCTCATGTGGGCGAGGCCGGGCCAGGGGTCTGGTTGGACCCCGCTCTGGTCATCTCACGTATGCGCTGGCTTTGCCCAGGACGGCCCGTTCCCTTTTCTGGTGAGCCAGGGGTGGGCGGGGGAGGCGACGGGAGCCGGTAGCCGGTGGGACCAGAAAGGGGACCTGGTGGATACGGAGCCTCCCCGGGGGGAGGGCAGGGAGAACTGCCCATCTGGTCAGGTGGGATTGCTGGGGAGAGCAGGGGGCGGCTTCCCGTTAACGTGGGCTGCGAGGGGGAGACTGGAGTAGAGGCTGTTCTCATCCCACCCTCCCCCGCCCCCCGCACCCCAACCCCGAGCCAAAGAGGGAGCCGGTTAGCAGATTGTGTTGATTTGCCAAAAGAGACTTGCGCCTGTCATAAGGGTGCAGTGGAGGAGAGAGGAGTGTGAGAGGCCCTGACAACAGTCACCAGCTTGCCGCATTCTGGACTGGGGCTGGCGGTGACCCCAGCCCAGTGGCTGCGTGGTCCAGGGCACAGGGCCAGATGGGTATGTGGGCATGTGTGTGGAAATGGGCGTGTCCCCCCCACCAGGCCCCGCCCAGAGAAGACCCAGGAGGGAAGGAGGCGGGAGGAGTGGGCTGGAGAAGACAGGATGGGGGGCAGAGCCAGGAGGACCCGAGCCCCGGGCGCCTGAGCTCTGGGCCCTGATTTGGCAGCAGGGTTTTCTCATCTCCTCTCAAACTCTGACCATTCCGTCTCAGGAGTCATGGAGTAGGTCCTCCCCGGCGCGTCAGCGGGTGGTAAAGTCCTCTGAAGCCTCAGAGAGCCGCCGACTGCAGGTGCCCAGACGGGACGGCCAGACGCAGGCCTCCTCCATCCGGCCCGCCGCTCTCCGGGGAGACCAGGCTCCGAGACGCAGAGCTCACAGCTGGAGCCTGCGTTTTGCTTTGGATGGTTTAAGCGGTTTTATTTCTTATAAGAGGAGTTTGAGAAACGGGTGTGTGTGTGTGTGTGTGTGTGTGTGTGTGTGTGTGTGTGTGTGTGTGTGTGTGCCTGCAGGAAAGAAGCAGGCCAAGCCAGTCAGTTTTCCTTCCTTCCTCATTCCTCCTGGGAATCGTGTCATAAAATCAGACCCTGACCCTGCAGGCAGACCCGCTGTGTTCCCCTGGCTTGGCCCCGAGGGCAGGGACGAAGGGGTGGAGTAGAGACCCCCCTCTTTGCACTGTCCCCAGCCTCTCCCTCCCTCCGTCCAGGGGTCTCACCATCTCCAGCCCACAGGGAGAAGACAGAATGTCCCTCCAGCCACCACTCGGCGACTGCTCTCCCCAGAGTCCTATTTCTGTCCCTGGAAGGCCTTCCCGTGATGCACCAGGATGTGCCCTCTCAAGGGGAGACACGTAAATATTCTGATCGGTATTCACTCAGACCGGGGCCAAAAAAAGTACACCCTGTGGGTAGAACGTGTGGCCAGTCCTAAAAGGCTGCTGCGGTGCCTGCCTGTTCCCTGAGAGGCTGCTGGGGACAGGAGCCCCCTCTCTCACCAAGGCTGCCCCATCCCCCTGCTGCCCGGAGCTTCTGTCGCACTGCACCCAGGGCTCTCAGGAGAGACCCAGAGTGACCAGCAAGGCTGGGACGTGTTTAACCCAGTCCTGGGCAGGGCCGCCTAGAGGCTGAGGGAGGAGGTGTGTGAGGATCCCCTATGGAGGGGAGGAGGTAGATCTCCCCAGGACCAGTCCCACCCCAGCACCCCCTTCCCTGTCTCACGGGTCCTGAGGACGGGGTGGAGGCCCTTCTGTGCTCCGAGCGCTGGGTGTTCCTTACAGCTGCCCTGGCAGATGGGCCACCATCCAGTCTGAGCAGTCCCTTTGACACCAGAGGCTAAGGGACTCACAGGGCCACGCAGCCAGGCAGCCACACAGCCTGCCTCTGCACAAGGCCTCTGACTACCAGGTCGAGCCTGGGCTGCAGCTTGGCACTCCCCAAGGGTTCTGTGCTTGCCAGAAGGAGGAGGCCGCAGCCCAGGGCCACCACCAACCCTGAGTCCGGGGCATGAGAGGTTGAGACTTGTCGCAGACTTGTCACAGTGGTGGAAGGGCTGGCTGGTCAGCAGACCCAGCCATGGTTTGGCCTGAGGAAAAGGTGATGCAACCACCTGTAGTGTCCTAATGAGGGGTGTCTTAGGACCCCAGTTCCACATGGACATAAGCTCACATTGCTCCAGGGTGTTTTCTTAGGTTTGACCCCGTATCTCTTGTGTGTCATGTAACCTGCCGTGGAGAATCAGGAGTGTCTTCCCGACCTCTGGACCAGGGCTGGCAGGTGGAGACCAGAGCTGTCTGTAGCACCTGTGCCCTGGTGGGAAGCAGGTTGGAGAGAGCGTGGTGGGAAGTGGATGGCTTTGGTGTATCACCTGTTGGCTCCCCATGGGCTGGCTGACCTTCCTGCTGGGGTGGGCAAGGTGGGCCGGGCCAGTGTCAGGACACCAGGGTTGGGGAGGCTTTGCAGCTCACCTCCCGGTGGACCCCTGACCCCACCACCAGGCTCGTGACCCCTGTGGGCATCTCTGCCCGGCCCTTTTCCTCTCCCAGAGGGTGAGCAACTCTGCCCAGACTGCGTTGCACAGGCCCTTTCTGGAGCAAGCCCCATGTGGAAAGGGATTTGACGGTGAGGGCTGCTTCCTGCTTAAGGAACTACTGAGAAGTCTTTGCAGAAGTGCACCACCCACCCACCCGCAGGTCCCTGCAGCGCACTCAGGAGCATTGGGGATGGCAAACCCTTTGCCCACCACACAGCACACACACACAAATACACACCTGGGCCAGCATGACGCAAGTCCATGCAAAAGCAGCCTGCCTCGCAGCTCTGCACTGTAGCGCTCATCGGCATTGACCTGGCTCTGTACGCAGTAGTGTTTGTACATGCACGTGTGCGTGCATGGGCGTGCATACAGTAGTGTGCGCACGTGCGTGTGTGTGTGTGTGTGTGTGTGTGTGTGTGTGTGCAAGGGCACAACTAAGAACAGAACCTCCTTATGGTCTGCATCACCCGCTGGAAGGTCCTAAATGACCAGACCCAAGTTCACCACCAAGGATTTGCTTTTTTCTTGAAAGAGTTGGTACAGTGGCTCTGGAAACTTGACTTTTAAAGGATTTGACCAGTCTGTTCTGGGTCCCAAACCAGCAGGTTGGAGGTATGGTGGGAAGTGATAGAGCAAGGCCCCGGGGACAGATGGAGAGTGGAGGCTGGGCCTGCTGTCACAGGCCGCCGTGTGGGCAACGCCCGCGCACACAGGCCCAGGGAGAAGACTTCCCTCTACTCAACTGACGCTGCGGATTCCTGTGTCAGGAAGGGTCACAGGCAGCAGCTGAGCCCACTGTGGGGGAGAAGGGGAGCTTCAAATAGGAGCAAGGAGGAGGGTGGGCGTCTGTGATGTGCAGCAGGGGTGAGTCACCCCGTTGGCGAAGGGGGCCAGGGAGGCGGCCTGGGGCCAGGAAGCCGGTCTCGGGCTTCCCAGATCCTGTACTATCCCCACTCCTAGGGGAGCCCTGCCAGCCCGTGCGGAGGGCAGGGCGGTGAACAGTTTACTTGGCCACGTTGTGTTGAGGCCTGGGGTCCGAGGGGCAGGAAGAGCCCAGCACGTCTCTGCGGTAGAAATAGAGCCCCGAGGCTTTGCCTCCCATCACGGGCTTCTCCCTCCAGCACTGGGGCCACTTCAGAGGCCGCCTTCTGGCCTGAAGGGGCCCCCTCTTCGGAGAGAGCCCTTAGGCTGCCGGGGCACCAGGGAGATGTGGACGAAACGCACTCCGCGACTCACACAGGTGCTGGCTTACGAAGCCCTCGCCTCGTGGAAGGTAGCCCGGGGGGACAGCCGGATCCTGGGGGGACAGCTGGATCCTGAGCGGACCCTCCCTCAGCCCCCTGCCCCACCCTCACGCCAGCAGGACGAGCCGCCAAGCTCCTCTGCTGGTCCTGTGAGGTGCCCAGAAGGAAGAGCTCCTTGGGCTTTGTTGGGCCTTCCCAGCGCTCTTGGAACGAAGCTGCTCGCATTAGGCAAGGCTGGCCCGTGCTCGGTCAACAGCCAGGCCCAGCGCAAGCAGATGTGCGCCTGTCCGGGACGAGGCTGACTTGGCTAAGCTGACTGCAGCCCTCGGGCAAGGCACCAGTGGGCCGCGCTCCGGCCACTGGCCCTCATGTGGCTTCCCCTCCCTCCCAGGACCTACCTGGAGGAGGAACTCACCAAGGCCCGGAAGAAACCCAGCCTCCGGAAGGACATGTACCAGAAGATGATAGAGGTGGACCCAGAGGCCCCTACCGAGGAGGAGAAAGCCCAGCGGGCTGTGACCAAGCCGCGGTACATGCAGTGGAGAGAGACCATCAGCTCCACGGCCACGCTCGGGTTCAGGATCGAGGGCATCAAGGTGAGGACAGCCGGCGGTGGCCTGAGGCTGCCTGAGCCGCCCCGCTCCTGGGTGGGGAAGGGACTGGGTCCTGGGGCTCCAGCAGCATTCACCCAGCGGTCCTGGCTGCTCTCAAGACCCTACGGAGGCTGTAAGATTCCTCCCCATACGGGCCCAGGGCATGGGCAGCCAGCCCCAGGGACAGACACTTGGGGAAACTGGCCTACTCCTTGGTCTGGGTCTGGGGGGGACGGCCATGTAGGGGGCTGGGGCCTCAGAGCAGGACTGACTTCTAGCCCCACCCAGCGTTGAGCCCTCCACCGAGGACCTTACATCTAGCCCAGACCATGCCCAGCACTGAGAACCCACCCACCCAGGAGGCAGCTTGCTGCATGCCAGTGCCGGGAGCTGGCTCATTCTGCCCAGGGCCCGAAAATCAGCACAGGCAGTGAGATGCAGCCAAGGGAGGGAGCGTGCCAGCCGCCTCTGACATCGGAGCCATCTGCCTGGGAGGCAGAACCAGGCGCTGCTCCTCCGGTCACCAAGCCCCTCTGGGGAGGCTGCACCGAGGCCACCCCCAACGTGTGGGCCACCTCATTGTCTTTTCTTTCCTCCTCACTCTCCCAAGAAGGGCCTGAGAATGCTCTCCCTAGACCCAGGCTTCCACACGCCTCCTTTGCTGCTAGATTTGAGAGCCTCTGCTCAGACACACGCTTCACCCCAAGGAGCAGGGCTGTGAGGCGCTGGCCTCTCGATCCCGGGCAGCTGTCCCTCTCAAGCAGAGGACAGTCCGAGCGTACTCGGGTTTCTGTCCTCTGCCCATTTTTGGCCCACGTTGGCCAGCCCTCGAGTCAGGGTAGGGCAGCGGGGAGCCCTGACTCACGGGCGAGAGAAGCCAGGACAGCCTCCTTGCCGATGGCATTGGCTGGAAGTTCCTGCGGGACAGTGCCTCGCTGCCGATGGTTTCGAGTGGGGCAAAGTTTTCACCTTGTCCTGTGACAGCTGCTTTACGACCTCCAGGCTGAGAAAGCCATCTGCCCCTCCCCTGTCTTCTGAAATCGGCTTTTGCTGTATTTTTGGATCCAGTGGGAGAGTAAATTATATGCTCATCCTCTTCCTCTTAAGGCTTCTTTCCTTTCTGTATCTGTTTGAAACAGTCTGCTTTTCCCTTGACCTCTCTCTCCGTCTCTCGCTGGATCTCCTGGTCTCTGTCCACTGTCCAGCTGCAGGAACGGCCGACAGCCCATCTTCTCGGGCTGCGGGCCACCAGCTCCGAAAGAAGCCAGCTGCCTTCACCAGCACACCCCCGCCTCCCCCGTCCCTGGTCCAGGAAAGGCCCTGCAGAGACCCCTGTGGGGAAGGCCCAGCCCTCGGCTCTCTCCCTCTGCCCAGGGTCCTACCTATTCTTGCAGAGGCAGCGACAGCGCTCAGCGCCACCCTGGTGATACACAGACGCACGTCTGGGGGCCTAGTGGAGCCAGGCTTTCTCACCCTTTGATCTTAAAGAACAGCTTTCCTCATAGAGATGCTAAGCCCCACGTGCTGCCTGAACAGCCTGGAACAGACTTAGTACTGGGCTCAGGAAATGGAGCCATTCCGTGCACTGGGTGGGGAAGGGAGCGGGATGGGCTGTGTTATATCCTCGCTTTCAGGGAGCCTAAGTAAGAGACCTTCCATTACAAGGGCATCGAGCTGAGCGTGGGGCGAGGAGCGCCTCTCTCCTGTGGTGAGGGAGGGTGTCCCTGGGCAGCAGGGACTTTCAGGCACCCCGGTTCCAGGGACCCGGCCCCTCATGGAAGCAGAGGCCCGTGCATCTCCCTCAGCCCCCAGTTGCTCACACTCAGGACCCTCAGGATGGATGGGCGGGCCCCGCAGCCTTGCTCCTCCAGTCTTGGTCCAAGCGCCCCTCGGGCCTCCGGGCCTTCCTAATGCCGTTTACTCTGCCTGGGACACTGGCACTACCCCCTTTGTTCTCCTCAGCCAGGGCGCACGACAGGCTCCCCCGTGCCGTGCGGCCGGATTGACCACGCGGCACCTGCCTCCTTGTGCCCCGTGTGGGCACCTGGCTGCCTGGGGGTCAGCCTGGGGCTCGTGGCTCTGAGGCACTGTGTCATTCTCCTTCTCAGAAAGAAGATGGCTCCGTGAACCGGGACTTCAAGAAGACCAAAACGAGGGAGCAGGTGATCGAGGCCTTCAGAGAATTCACTAAAGGAAACCGGAACATCCTGGTGAGTTGGGTGCCCCCTGCGAAGGGGTCGGGCCGTGTGGTCTCCGGACAGGGGTAGCTGCACCCCCTCTGGAGGTTCTTGCCCAGCCCGAGACGGAACCGAGGTTCCCACACAGAAAACCCTGGCCCTAAGCTTCTGCTTGGAACAACATTGCAAATCAACTATATTTCAATAAAATTTAAAAAAAAAGGATTACTCACAGGTTTACACACTGGAGGTTTGGTTTTCATTAAAATACTTCCACGTGGGAAGCAAGTATTGATTGCATTCTGAGAGTCAACTTTATATATTATACCAGCGGGTGAACATGCGCTCACTCTTTCCCTTAGCCAGCAGCTCAGCTCCCAAAAACGTCTCCACTCCCTTCAGAGCAACGCTTTCCGATGCCCGTGTTCCTCTAAGACCAAGTATTGTGCCAAGTGCTCATCAAACCCTCATAGCAGCCCTCTGCCGTGGGTTGGCATCCTTGTCCCCATTTTACAGATGAGGAGACTGAGAGGTCAAGGGCACACAGCTAGGAAAGGGGGAGCTGGAGCTCACACCCAGGTGGGCCAGCAACCTGCTGGTCCCTGCGCTTCTAGGCCTGGCTGGGCCTCCACCAGGCTGAGACTGAGTGAGGGAGGTATGCGGGCATTGCGGGCGAGGTGCCGCGTCACCCTCCCCAGCCAGAACTGATGGGGTCTCTGAGCCTGGAGGTGTGGGTGGCAGACGTTCACGACAAAGTGACTTCATTCGCCACAGGCAGGCTTCTGGACAGATGCTCTGAGCACTGAGATCAGCTGAGGTAGGGTGTGTTGAGTCCCCACACCCCAAGAACAGGGCGCCCTGTGACAATCAGAGACCTGGGTACACCAGGGACCTGAGCCCTGGAGCCCCCGTGAGAGGCACCTTCCCCTGCACAGGCTCCCGGGATGCTGAGTGGGGAGGGCTGGGCCCAGACAGCATTTCTCCAAGGAGACTCAGCACCGGCTGGAACTGGGGAGTTTCCCTACCCCCCTTTTCCAGCTGGGAGACTTTGCTTGGCCCATGGTAAGAGCTGAGGCTTCAGTCATGGGGCAGGCACCCCAACTCTTCCATAGCTGGAGCCTCTGGACGCCGGGTCAGCGGCCGGGGAGGATTCCGGCTCCTCAGCAGAGTTTGCCACAGAACGCGGGCTGCCTGCACCCGGACGAGAGGGATTATTCCTGGTCCTGAGCCCCAGGCTGGCACTGCTTCAAATGGGCATCAAGGGACCCTATGTGCCTGTGTGCGACGGGCTTCCCTCGCAGCCCCTGGGGAGGGCGGGCACCCCCAGGGCCAGCACAGCTCTGTGGAGAGGCCACTGGCAGAGATATTTGTGGCTCTGGCTTTCTTATTCTGTCCTTTTCAAGAGTTCAGGGCACTGAAGTTTGTATTAGGAAGACAAGCACCATGGCAACCAGGCTCTCTGGGTGCTGCCTCCACACTGCTGGCGTTCCAGAATAGACTTAACCCTCGTGCGAAGGGCTTCTGGAGGCCTCCCGGCTGTTCGGGAACTGTCCCCCGCTCCCCGGTCCCCAAACCGCGCCTCCTGTGTGTAGTGGAGGGAGTGTGGGGCCAGGGCCCCAGCTGCTCCGCCTTCTTTGGGCCTCGGTTTCTTCATTTCTAGATGAGGAGGTTGGAATAATCAGGGTGTAAGGCCCTCTCACGCTGACGCTCAGGGACTCTAATGGGCCAAATAGCACCTAAAATCCACCTCCCACACCCACGTGTTTAAAAATCTGGTCATCTTTCTGTTCCCAGATCGCCTACCGGGACCGGCTGAAGGACATTCGGGCCACCCTGGAAGTCTCTCCCTTCTTCAAGTGCCATGAGGTAGGTGTTGGGCTTTGTCCTCGGGGACAGAGAGCCGTGTTCCGTGTGGTTGGCCACGACCCCTGGGCACGCCCACCTGAGCTGTGCGCCTGACCCCCGTGTTAGCAGACCTGCTTGCTCCTAGACGGGCCGCCCGTAAGGAAGGAGTGGGGCATACGGGGGCCGGCTCGGCCGGGCTCTGGCCTGTGTAGCCGCACCGGGTCCAGCCATCCTGGAAATGCCCTCTTCTCCCTCTGTTCTCACTGAAGCCCAGCATCCCTGGGTCCTTGGCTTCTCCTGGGGCCTCTCTGTCTTCTCAGCTTTGTGCAGCCTGCAGAGCTTCCTCCAGCTGGCCTGCTTTCTCTGGAGGACAGCCTGGGGCCAAGGCTGAAAGGACCTGAGGCCGAAGAGCCGCCCATGACCTCCTGCGTGGATGGAAGGACCCGCGGCTGCCCACTTGGCAGCCCCAGGCTTCATCTCACAGCTTTGCCCCCCCTTGTTCAGCGCTTTGCTCTTACTTCCTGAGAAACTGTTTTGCTGTCCTCTTTCTGGAGTTTCACTTGGAAACTTCAGGTCTAGACCGAGGCCAAATGAACTGGGCTTCTGCTTTTCTCCATCTGGGAAGAGAAAGCCCCCTTCCCTGAGCTCAGCACATCCAGGGGGTCTTCCCTGCCCTGGCCGGGGCCCTGGGAGCTAGAATGACACTTCAGTGCCTCCCCACACCCCCACGTCTCCTTCGGGCCTCACACAGGTGACCCGGGGGTTGGAGGGTGTGCTCATATTTGGGAAAGCGCCTTACCCGGCGCAGGTGCTCTGACCTGGCCCACAGCAGGGAGGGGTCTTGGTGTCCGCTGTCCCTGGCAGAGACCGTGAGCAAAGACCAGCCTCAGAAGCCCTGTCTGCCCAGGACTTGCAGCAGGTGTGCTCCCGGGCTGGGGGTGACCTGAGCCTGGCGGCCCACCCTCCCCGGGGGGGCGGGCTGTGAGTGCCTTGGGACAGGGTCCTTTCCGGCCTCCCCACAGACAGCATGTGGCATCTCCTTGGCACCTCCCCCTCGGGCAGTTGGGTAGCACTCAGAGGTGCTGAGGGATGGGTTAGCTGTGGTCTAGAAATAGAGGAAAGTGAGCAGGTTGGGACTGGGGGACGGGGATGGGGTCTGCCCTCCTGGACATTCCTCCCTGGCAGTGTGGGTGGTCATTGTTCTGGGTCCCATGTCCCCTGTCCATGGCGTGGCCACTCGGGCAGGCTCTGCTGCTCAGGTGAGAATGGGGGACAGAGCCCATCGGCTGAGCAAAGCTCGCTCCACTTCCCCGAGGTCTCAGGCTTTCCCAAGCCCCCCTGAGGTGCCGGCTTGTTGTCTGGAGGGCAGGGCGGGGCCCCAGCCCTTCCCCGCCTCACCCCCCTGCTCCCCTCCAGGTCATCGGCAGCTCCCTCCTCTTCATCCACGACAAGAAGGAACAGGCCAAGGTGTGGATGATCGACTTTGGGAAAACCACGCCCCTGCCCGAGGGCCAGACCCTGCAGCACGACATCCCGTGGCAGGAAGGGAACCGGGAGGACGGTTACCTGTCGGGTCTGAACAACCTCGTCGACATCCTGACGGAAATGTGCCCGGGCGCCCCCCTCTCCTGAGGCCACCCTCCGCCCCACCTCGTCGCCACCCTGGCCTCTTATCCCCCCTTGCTTCCCTTCTCCTTCTGAATTTTTCCTTCACTTCCACCTGGGTGCAAGCCCTAGAACTGACCCTCCCGAACAGCACTACAAGACACTTTGTAGATGAGATGAGATTTTCTAGTTATTGCCTGATTGAAGGGTTTGGAGCTGGGGCTTCCATTTTGCTTTCTCAATAGGATCTCCTACTGGCAGAGAAATGCCCAAACCCAGTCTTGGCCGCCTGCAGGGAGGTCAGTAGGGTTTAGACCTGGAGGGAGGTTCAGGTAGCCGTGGGGTTCCTGGCTCCAGCGGGTACCCTAACAGAAGAGCCCCCGACCCCAAGCCTCTGGGCAGGTTACCGGTGGAGGCCTGCTGCCCCCTGGTGGCCAGTGCTATTGGCACCACTGTTAGGCACAGCCGGTTCCTGCCCCATCCTCTCAGCCTGGGGATGGGCTGGTGCTGTAAAAATAGGTGCCTGGTGCCAGGCTTTCTGGTATTTGGGGCACAAAACCACTGGGAACAGAATGTTGGCCATGAATAAAGTACCCTCTGCTTAGCAGCCTAGGGACTCCGAGAGATGCCGTGGTGGCCTTTGTAGGGTTGCTAAAGTGGAGACCCCATCCATCCGGTATTGAAACCCTCCAGCACTGGGACAGACCCAGGAGCCAGAAGTCTAGATCCAACGTGACTGTGCTCTCTGACACTGGCCTTCCCAAGAGGGGGCAGGCAGGAGCTGTGTTCTCCCGTCTGTGATTTTCGCCCATGAATTCAGAGGGACATTCTGCAAACCTGAGCTTCCAGGGATGCCACCCAACCCCCAGAGCCACTTGTACCTCCCACTCCCCGCCTTGCTGTGACAGGGTCCTCAGGGCTGGATGGCAGTGGGCCATGGCCCAGGCAGCCCCAGGGGAAAAAAGACAGAACCTGCCAGGACATTCCTCTCCTGTCCCCTCACCTCCCAACTTCCTGGTGCCAGGTGGTCCACCTGCTGCACACCCAGGATGCTCATGAGGCCCAGGGTCCCCAGCAGTGATGGGGCAGAGCTCCAGGCCAGCCCTAAGCAGGGAGGAGGCAGGAAGCTGGCTTACTGCCATCATTCCCCCACCCCCACCCCTGAAATAAGTCTTAACAGCCTGAAGGGCTTAGACCCGCTTCCCAGATATGGTGTGAGCAGCTTCCAGAGTATGTGGAGGGTGCCAGGCATCTCTTCCTGGGGTCTCTAGGTTGCTTGAAGATTCACGAGGAGCCAACTGTAAGCCTTACTTTAATTGTAAAGCAAGTAGGTCTACATTACTGAGAAGAATGTAAATTTGCATGAGTTGTAAAGAACAAACGTCCAGCTCTTTGGCCATTTGGAGCTGGGCCCCAGGTGTTCACCTTTGCTTTCGGAGGTTGGACCGATTGCTCTGCAGGGAGCTGGTCCAGGGACACTTGGAGATGATGTGTCCCCAGGGGTGTGTGCCTGGAAGACCAATCCAGAGGGAAGCCTTCCTGGGCTGCCCCCTGTCACCGCAGGGTCTCTGGGGGAACTGTCAACTTGCCCACGTGACACGTTCGTTTCCCTTTTCATGCTGGGTGAGTGACGGTTGGTGGGGGCAGAAGGTGGGACACATGAGGATGCATAAGTACAGAGTTTAAAAATGGAAATCACTTTTGAACTTCCTGGCTCTTGTTCAAAACAGCAGTGAGCTCCTGTGTGGGCTGCCTTGCTAAAGGTCACACCCGCTCCCGGCTGAGCACGAGAGACCTTGTGACACCACATGACCCTAGAAGGCAGAAGCACCAAGGTCAGCCCGGGGTCTTGGGAGCTGTAGTCAGCTGGGTCAGAAGGGACCCCGGGGGTCTGGGCTGCTCCTGTCTGCGGGGAAGGGACATCATTAATTCAGATGTAAAATTTCTACAACTGTGGGCTGGCCAAGTTACCCTCATTATATCTATGAAAAAAGTTTGCTAAAGCAAATTAATGCTATGAACAAAAATTACAGGGGGCCAACTTAACCAATTTAAGAGAACAAACTTTCCAAGCACTTTAAGCAGGCACCAGTTGTTTGCAAACAATGTGCTAATATGCCAGTGACTTGTTCATTAAAGGAGGCCCAGAGGGCCTCTTACTGGCGATCCTTTGCTTTGAGTTACAGTATATATGTGAATGGTAGAAAGTGGCATCTTTCTAGGGTTAATGCTATTAGGGGCTTGGGGGTTTTGTGGTTCCCATGCTAGCTCTCCTGCACACCTACTCTCTCTCTCAACCCATTCTCCCCTCTGTCCCCCCCTCCCTTGACCAAGCGGGATAGATGGATCCTGGAATGTGATTTCCCAGAACCCCTGCCCAGGTGGTCTGAAAACCTTCCCCAGCCAGCCTGGTCCAGGCAGGGACTCCCTGGGTCCCGGCCGTGCAGGTGCCAGGAGGGTGGGACGAGGTGTGCACACCTGCGCACAGGTGAGTGGGCGCCCTTTCTGCCCTGTCCCCATGGGGCCCTGGGGCTCTTGGGGTTCAGCACTGCTCAGCAGTGGAGGGAGGTATCTCAACTGCTTGTCCCAGATGTGCCTTTAGTGTCATGTAAGAAGTTTTTAAGTTATATTTATTTTGTCGGGTTTTTTTAATTGCACAAAACACTAAGTCTGAGAGGCTGGATTCTGTTTCTCCTTTAAAGCTTTGCCTTCTTTCTGAACTTCCTTTCCCACCCAATGGAAAGAGCCGGATGCAGCCCTGGCCATCCTCCCACCCTACCCCGCCACCCTCCGCCATGGACTCTTTCCACGCTTCGCTGTATTTAGCTTTGAGTTTCTCTGCGTCTGGTCAACCCCCATGTGTATATAACCCAGGCCGTTGCTTGGGAAGAAGCAGGGTGCTCACCCCCTGCCAGTGCCTTTTTCTGGAGGAGAGAACTCCCCTGAGCGTCCTGCTTCCTCCTGCACCCCTCTCCCCACCACACCTTTGGAGAAAACTGAGCTGTTACAAACACCCCCCACCCCCACCCCCACCCCCCGCACAGTGCCTGTCAAACCGACTGCAGATGCTCTGTACCTTCCTGAATAAAGGCCCTGGAGACCACGGTGCTGGGTGCTGTCTGCGTGTGGTCCTTGTCACCCCAAGCCCTCCAGGAGTGTCTGGGGGTGAGGGGGTCTTTGGAAGCTGGGGGATCCAGTGGGAGCTATGACAACCCCCAGGGCTGGGGATCAGATTTGGGTAATATTTTAATCTGCAAAGTATTTAAACATTCTTCAAAACTGCTCTTTTCTGCTCTCTCCATGAAAACTTTTACATAGCAGCTCAGGGACGAAGCAACAAACTGCTCCCCACCTCCCCCACCCCGGGCTGGCCCAGCTGCCAGCAGCTTTTGCTTATGGAGCCTCGCTCTGTACGAGGCACTGGGTGCTTGCATCTGTAGTCCCCTTTGATCCCTGTATGAACTCCATGACTAAGGCTGTATAGTCTACAGATGCGGAAACTGAGGCTTAGAACAAACACCTTGACCTGGGTAATAAATGGGAAGCAGGGATTCAGATCCAGAATTTGTCTGGTTTCAAAACCAATTGTCTTCCTCCCTCCCTAGGGAGCATCTAGACGGCAGAGAGCTTGGCTTATCTTTACCCTGTATCCCAGGCGCTAAGCACCGGGCCTGGCACATAGTAGCTGCCCAGCGAGGGTTTGATGGACTAATGAATGGCCATGTGGCTGGGATGGCCAAGGAAGACAGCTGAGAACAGGAGCCCCTGCAGCACATCAAGTGTTCACCATGCACTTCCCTTCAGGCCTCTCCAGCTCTGGATAGCGTGGCTTCGTTTACAGATCTCAAAATTCTGTATCTGGGGGCTGGTGCATCCTTCCTTTATCGTTTTCAAAAATTATAGGACAAAAGTACAAAAAGGCCACAGTGCCTTTGCACCTTCTGTCCCTTCTGCCTGGACTGCTCTCCCCAGGTTATCATGTGGTAACTATGCTCATTCCAGATTCTCACACCTGTATCTCATTCCTGCCCCACAGCTGGCTCAGTGGGCTCCAACCATTGTCTACACAGGTTCACACAAACTGCTTCCTGCCCTTCCTTCCCTGCCAGCCCAGAGCCCCGGGAGGTACCCAGCCCCGCGCCCGTGTAACCCTGAAGTCTGGGGGATTTAATCCCCCTATGGTACAAACTTTTCCCCAATGGGAGATGAGAACAGGTCAATAGGTCCCTGCCCCTTCACCACACCCCTCCCTGACGGATTCAGCCTGACTGGCTTCCCCGAAAGTGGTCCTATGAGATCAAGCAACCAGCTGCACTTAGTGGGGCTTGCACTCTGACAAAGCAGCAGGAAATAAACCTCCTCCTCAGGCTTTTCTCCCTGGGGAACCTGAACAGAGATACACCAGCGTTTAGATCTTGGCTCAAATGTTGCCTCCTTGGAGCAGTCTCTGAACGCCCAGCTACAGCAAGCATACCCCAGCCGTGCTCTCAGTGCCCTGTCTCATCTCCCACACTCTTTCTCAGGGTTCAAAACCATCTACAGGACTTGGGGTGTGTCTCTTACATTGCGACACTGCCCCTGAGAGTGGGGACTTGACCTTTTAACTGTTGTTTTCAATGTCTCACAGTGCCAGGTACAGGTGCTCAGGGAATGTTGATGGGGTCCCTGAGCAACCTGCGTGACCATGGCAGTTGGGCACACAGACACCCCTTCTTAGGCAGGAGAACAACTCCCAGGTTGTGTGGATTCTCTGGCCTTGGTCCTCTCCTGTGATCTTATCGGCGCCCCTTTCAGCCAGCCGTTCTCAGTGTCTTTCTCCAGATCTTGCTCTTGCCAGTAATTGGCCAGTAAAGGCACTCAACAAGTACTCTCTGGAATGGGTGAGTGACACTCCCTCTTCTCATCCTTTCTTCTGTGGTTACCCCCCGCCCAGGGCTTTGTGATCACCCCCAACCCATGTGGAGCCCCTGTGGCCATGAAACCCCGTGTCCGCCTGGGTTTCCCTGCTCAGCCTCCTGTGTCCAGTGCACAGGCTGATGGAGATGCTGCTGCAACCCTTCAGGGGTGGTGCCACTGTCCCCCACTCCCACCCGCCCTGGGACTTGGGCCACCCACCGGAGGACGCTCTCCTTTCAAGCGCTGCAGTTAGGGCACCTGGAGCACCCAGGCCTTCTCAACTTCTGCACCCCTCATCC